ACAGTTCTGCACAGGAATCAACAGAGCTCCCCTGAATTAGAATATAAAGTATAAATTGTATTCTGAATTAGAATATAAAGTATAAATTAAGGAGGTTATCAACTTGCAGTTAATTTCTTTTTTTTTTTTTGTATACACTGTTATGGTACAATTGTTTTTCCTGGAAGTTTTGACTTTCCAAAAGCACACCAAGGTTAATTTAGGAACTAGAAACTGATAAAGTGCTGTGCCTCACAAACAAGTGCAGATTCCTTTAGACTCAAATACTCCACTGCTTAATGCACAAGTCTTGAGAAAAATAGCAGCTCTTCCTCTTGCATTTAAACACACAACCCTCTTCACTTATAACTCTCAAAAAGCTCAGGAAAGGGCACTGATACCACAGTTGTCTACTTTGGAGGAAGAGAACAGGTGATCTACCCAAACTTACACTGCTTGTCAGGCACAGGGCTGGGAACAATCCCAGTGCTCTCCATAGTGATCCTTACAGCTCACAGCCTATCCCTAAACACTTACCTCTATAGATCAAACACAAACAAGGATTCAGAGCTGGTTTGCTCACCACCTAAACCACATATTGCCAACAGTCACCATTAAATGCCACCTGGGCAGTGGCTTCTAGTCAGAACCTCTCTAAGAACCAGACACAGCCTGTACCTGAGCTGTGCAGCTGCTCTTCCTCAGGAATAAGAAGGGATTTTGGTTATCCCCCTTTGTGTACACCAGGACAGACCCTTGCACAGCACACCCCAAGTCTGTAAGTGGCACCCCCACAGGTCTCTCTGGGTGACAAAGACACCCCCTGTGCTGAGAGCTGTCCCCTCTGTTGCCTCTGGGAGCAGCAGGCAAACCCCACAGCCATTGATCCCACTATGGATCCTGCAGGCATTCCTGTCTGTGTCCATCTCATGCCTTCCAACCTTGCCCTAGAAACTGGGGGTAAGTTCCAATTTAGCAACTTACAGCACATCCTGGTCTATTCATAGCCGCCTGGCTGTGAGAGCTTCCATTTTTCTGGCTGTGCCAAATCCTCCCTGCAACAAGAGGACTACAGACAAAAAAAAGAAGACCTAAGATGATCTCTGTGCTGCAGGGGAACATGGTCTGTCAGAACCTCCAGCTCCTGCATGGCAGCTCTGCCACAGACAAGTTATTTCTGTTTACTCCTGCTCCCCACACATAGGTACTTCTGACACTAGGGTAAATGAGAGTAACGAGCTCTGTATTTCTCTTATAGCTAAGCCAAACCTGACACAGAATCTGTAATCCACAATTGTTTATGCTCTCTATGGATAGATTTTATGAAATCACATTTGCATAGTATAAATACATTGCCTTTCCAAACTAGAAAAACCAAAGTTTTCTGCCTCTTATACAGTTAAAAAAATAAAAATCCCCAAACTCCAAGTGAGTTCTGAAAAGCCATGCTCCACAATGTTTGCTGTGCAATGTAAAATTGTACCAGGCTTACTGATTTCAGAAGGGTTCTCTAAAGGACACACTCAATCCACTTGCAGTTTGCTGCCCAGTCATTCTTATGCCATCTCTTCCCTAAATCCAAGTACTCTGTTGATGAGCACTTTGACCAAATCAAATTAGGATGAGGATTTAATCCTTCCAAATGGCACAATCCAGATAGCAGGAGAGCTGTGATATTTCAGAACAATGCCTAAAGCCCTTTTAGAGTTCACTTGTTCAGCAGACCCAGAATAAAATCAAGGCATGCAACAGGTTAAAAAAGGAGGCATGAATAGCAAAGAAAGGAGCCACATAAAAATCTAATCTACACCAAAAACCAAGACAAACTACAGAGGAAAAACAAACACAGTAGGAGAACTTCGTAAGTGGAAGTTATCACCTGCACTTCACAAAGCAGCTCTAGGACCATACAGATCATCTTTTCCCATGCCTCCACATACAGAACCTACAGTCTTCACAAAAAGGACAAAAACCACCTGTTTTTAAACTGTGGATATGCATGCAGACTTGTTTAAGTAAACATATAAACTTGTAAAGTTTCTAAAAGCCAGGTCCACAGACTGACAGCTGAGTTTTTCAGAGCAAATAATGTCACTTTCTATGCTGTGAGAAGCACACAGAACATGTCAGAGACTGGATAGCTGGGAACTGAACATGCTTTATTTAGTTCCACACCTCTACTGACTGACAAAACACAAAAGCCATTAAAATAAAGTGCAGAAACAAACTGTTCAAAGAAAGGGCAAAACTTGTGTATCCAGTTATTTCTTGGGTCTTTGTCACCAGCTCAGATTGATTTAATTTTGCCATATACCATACAGGGGAAAGGGAGGTGAGAGGAACAAAACAAGTGGCATCTAAAAAACTGAGAAGCTACAGAGAAAAAATTGAATGTGAAGATAGGAGTGTGCCTATAAAATGAGTTTTCACTGCTGGGTGAGAAAGCAGTGATTGAACCCACGCCCTCACACTACTGAGCTTCACTGCCAGCTGGTATTTGAGCTCCACATGCAGATAATTTTCTTCTTCAGATCCTGAAGGAAAGCAGGCACCCATAGCACAAGGCAGCACTTTTATAAAACAAGCTGAAAGAGAAAGCTTTTCTCCTAAAGCTGCTCTGTTCCAGGATATACAGCTCCTTAAGGCAAAAAGGCTCCTCTTCCAGATGTCTTTCTTCTGCAGTTTTAAAGGGAGAAGACAAGAAGACCTGTATCACATTGGAGATGTGATTGCTAAATACTGCTCAGAATCACTGCCTCCATCCCAGGCTGGACTGTTCACCCAGCAGGACAGATGTAAGGAAAAGGAGAAATGCTTATTCATGCACCAAGCTAAGTCCTGAGATGTGTTTGGCAAACCACCTGGATCAAACAATTTATCCCACACACACTGACACACGAGATGACAGAACATGAGACACACTTCATCCCTTGCACCCAGGTTAAAACAATGAAGAAAAAACAAATGCAGACAGAAAAAACCCACCAAACTCCACCTAAAAAAATCCCAACTACATAAGTAATCAATTAGTTTTAACAGAAAAAATTAAGAGGCAGGAATTCAGCTCCTGTCCCTTGTTCTCTCTCAGTTTCCAGAAAAACAATACAGCCTGGCAAACAGGGTGTGAAACAACAGATCCCACCTGCCTTTAAAAGGACTACTGGAAGACTAGAAGCCAAAAAAAGTCCAGGTCTTGCTGCATGGATGCATTGAGCTATTATTAACTTGTGTGAACTATCACAAATGAATTAACCAGAGCTGCACTGCACAGAATTCCCCTCGGCAGGAATGAAACAAGGGGATCAGCACTTGGTAAAGGAGGCAATTCTCCACATCTGGCCCTTTCTTGTGCTCATCTCACCACCTCATTAGTAAAAGGGAGACACTGTCAAAGCACAGCAGGTCACCCACGTTTTTCCCCACAACGAGTAAGACTGGGCAATATAAAGCTGTTTATTCTAATCGAGGTTACCAATGTCACTGCTACTTAACAGCAATGAAAAAATCATGTACAAAATACAAAAAGAACTCTCCTGGTCTAAGAGCAAGAAAGTTCTTGCTTGCTCTTGCTAGCTGCAGCTCCTGTGAACTAAACTCCTTCAGATAACATATGAATGTTCTTACCCCATGACAGAGAAATGCAAAACTGCCAATATACTTTAGGCACAAATCTGCATTCAGTCTGCATAGAGAACAATTTCTCAATCCCTTCTTTTATTAAGTCTTTTATTGAGCTACTATTGATTTTGGCCACTACCCTTCTACATCCAGTGCTAAGACTTATTCTGCATATTCTTAATTAATACACCTGAGTCTAGTAAAACAATATAATTAAAAGACAAGCAACTCAGAAAAAAATCATAAATTGTTAGGTCAATTCTTTTTAGGAAAATGATACTATCAGTTATTGAAAGAAAATTTAATTTCCTTTATTTTCCTTTATTTCCTTATTTCTTTATTTTCCTTTACTAACACTGACCACAAAGTATGGATTTTCATTGCATGGAGGGGAATACAGAGAATCTCCCCACCTACATCCCTGCCCTTGTTGGGCTATTAGAAATAGTGTTATTCCTTATTATACAGTCCTGCAGAAATTAAAATGATCAGTAACCATGAAAACAACATTATATAGTGTTGTTTGAAACCAAACTTTCATATTAGTAGATATTTATAGGTCGCTTGTTCGATGTCTGTTTAAAACTAAGTATCTCCCCATCAGTTCCCGTTCACATTGTTACAAAGACATCACAAGCCTGTTTGCCTATAGAAAGATTATTTCCTCAGGCACTTTACCAGGGGGGCTCACAGCTTTTTTTACCCCCATTTCAGCCACAAGCAAAGCTTTAAAAACAGCCAACATCTTTATTTTACAGACGCGCGGATGGGTCCCAGCGGCAGAGAGCAGCGAGGCTGCAAGCGGGATCAGCCCGGAAAGCAGCGCAGCACCGGCTCCGCGCGGTGTCCTGGGCAGGGCGCGTTCCCTGCGGAGCGGGGCAGGGAATTCCCCCCTTCTCCCGATCCCCCTCGGGCTGCGCTCCCCGCTCAGCCCGCGCATCTTCCCGGCTGCGCTGAGGCGCCGGGCCCGGGCAGGAGGCGGGACCCGGCCGGCCCCGCTCTCGCCCCGCCGGGACGCGGCCAAGGGCACGGCAAGGCCGCAGCCCCGGGTTCCTCCTGCCCGGCCGCAGCCCCGCAGCCCCGCTGCCGCCATCGTCCCCCGAACCCCGCACACGTCCCCCCGCCCGCCGGGGAACGAGCCCCGGGCGAGCGACCCCCGGCCCGAGGCGCCGCGCCGGGCACGGGCGTGCTCCCCACGGCAGCGCCGGTGCTGTCGCCATCACCGCACCCCTTCCCGCACCGCTGCCCCGCATGGCAACGGGCGAGCTCCCACAGCCGGGGCACCGCCACTACCGGGGGCACCGCCACTACCGGGTGCTCCGCTGCCCCCACCCCGCCGCCAGCCCGACACAGGCCACCCCTGCCCAGCCTGGCCCCTCCACTGCCGCAGTCGCTTCCCATACCCTGGCCCGGCACAGCCCAGCGGCCACCGCTCGGCTCGGCTCGGCTCGGCTCTGTCCGCCCCGCTCAGCTCAGCTCGGCTCAGCGGCCGCGGCCCGGGCCCGCACGCCTGTTTACCGCCGCCACCGCCCCCGGCCGCGGCCGGGCCGCTCGCCCCGCCCCCGCCGCGCTCCCATTGGCGGAGCCCGCGCCCCCCGCGCGTCCGCCAATGGGCGGCGGGATCGGGCGGGGCTCCGGCCAAGGCGGGGCGGGCCCGGCGCGGCGCGCGCGGCGGCTGCAGGGGGACGTGAGGCCCGTGAGGTCCGTGCGGCGGCGGGCGGGGGGGGCGCGGGCGGCGGGTGAGGCGTGAGGAGCGTGTGCTGCGAGCGGGGCGGCGACAGCCGCCGTCTGTCCGCGCTGGGCCGGCTCCCCCCGGGCTGCGCTGCTCCAGCGAACGGGACCGCCCGGTGCGGTGTCAGTGGGAGGTGGCGGCGTCTGGGGCGGGGGAGGGGATCCCGCGGTGGGAGTGGATGAGGTGGGCTCGGGAGGCCGGGGGGTCGCTGCTCCGGCGGTCCCACATTCCCCGTTAATGTGCATGGGGAGATGGGCAGGAGCCCCGCGCCCGGCAGGCTCCAGGGAAATGCCAGGCGGAGGGAGCAGTTCCCGATTCGTGACGCTCCGTGTCCGGGAAAGCTTTGTCTGTGTGGTTTGTCAAAGCAGCGTGTCACGCAGGCACTGGGAACTGGTCAGGCTGTTGGGAAATGCACGCTGGAAACAAACGCGGTGCCTTGTTCCCCGCAGGTCGATGCCAGGGATGCGAGGGGCTCACAGCGACAGCCGGCTCCCGGCTTGTCTGGATGCTCTGGTAAGCGCCCGCCGCTGTCAGCAACTTTCCCGTCTGAAAAATAACAATACAGTCGTCCTGGGGCATTTGCCACATGGCTGCATCAGTGCAGGAGCGCATTCGGATGAGGTTTGGAGATGAAATCATTCGTTCCTTCCTAAACCAAACAGGATTCATAATCCTTCTCCAGTTGTAGCAGAACTTGCGGGAGTGACCAACAAACAGCCCCGAGCTTTAATTTCACCATTGTCAATTGCTTGTTTTGGCTGACCTTTTCAGCTAACTAGGAGCTTGGATTGAGCACTTAAATCCACACCAGAGGACCTGTATCTCAGTCAGTAGGAGTTGTGGATGCTGTGAATTGTAAAGTCAGTAGGAATTGGGGATGCTGTGGATTTGTGAAGAAGGAAAATGGATAAATGGTCTGCTCTAAGTGTGTAGAGAGGTTGAACTGTACAAAATCTGTGAGTATTACTGCCAATCTGCTATTGCCAAAGTTGCCCTCCTCTGTAGAGGGAGACAATTATTATCTCCAGCTGCTCAGACCAGAGATTGGCTGCTATTTATTGTTCAAGTATTACACATATTCCTTCATGTTTAAAAAAAAAAAAAATATTTTCATCTTCCCCAAGCCCCTCTCAGTTTCCCACATGAACCCTGAAAAGGTAAGGCACTGAACAGACAGCTACAAATTAATTTAGCAAAATTCATCACCCAAACATTGAATTAGAAGCCAGCTCCAATCAGGACTAAAAAGGCTGGATTTGAATTTGAAAGGTGAAAAAGAAACAGTTCCCTGGGAAAGGCACATTATTGAAATAAATGCTTAACACACAGGCTGTGTGTAAACAAAATATATCTGAAATGGAAAGGGCAAACACAATATTTCATAAGGGATGGAGGCTCAATATGTAGATGAAGCAAAAACATGTCTGTAATAAGATACCAGCCTTGAGAAGTTTTGTCCAAAAAAATGCCTCATTTTCTTCAGTTCAATACTCACACCTGTGGAAATATACACAAATTAATTGTTCTATTTGTGGTTAGGTTACACTATTTCTAATAAAGGAAAGATCATGTATGCCCTCATCTGGGAAGAGACACGTTGTAGATGTCTTTTCTAAGGACACCCCTTTATCTACTCCTGGATTTGGATGGCAGTGCTCAGTTTCTGTGTAACATCACTTTGCTTGCATCAGCTCGGCATTAATTGTGAAACACCTTACTCACAGTGCTGAGCACGGAGAACTGGAGGCTTTCTGCATGAGCAGGCTGCCACAGTTTGAGATGGAGGCACAGCAAGGCCAGGTTGAAGCTCTCCCCATCTCTCAGAGGCAGGCCTGGCTGCTTCCCTTCATTCACACGTGGTTAAACCATTGGATATTTCTGCTGCTGCTGCTGCTGTTCAATTTGCATCACACCTTCTCCTGCCAGACTTTCTGCAGCCTTAAAAGACCCATTGAACTTGAGCTCTTTCTGTACATAAAGAAGAGAGAAGTGTCTGTATTCCCACCTAATTTGGAGTGCAAAGAGGTAGGAATGAAAGCTGGACTGAAGCTGATGGGAAAAAATAGTGTATGTCCCTCTTTGTTACTTTTTAGTTCTTAGGGGGAATAAGGACAGGACACCCAGGACTCAATCCAGAATCCAGAGGTTAATTTTGCCTACTTTGTCCACAATAATAATAAAAAGTTGAATGTGATATATATGAAGTGCTGGGAGAGCTGTTCCATGGCAGATCTCCCTGTAAAGTGAGGAAAAATGGTAACAGAGAAAAAATATTGTCAGTATTTGGGATTGGTTTAGTGCTTCCAATTATGAGAATGACAGCCTTTGATCCTGAAAAAAGGAAGTGTTGTAGGTGGGAAATAGACCAGGGAGCCATCCTTTTCTTCAGGAAGGGTTTCAGTGGTTTATGTAAAGCCTTGTTGGCTGTTTGGGGTGTTCAGATTCAGGTTCCCTTCTCTGCTTGGGAAGACTTAACAGCACCCCACACACACTGAGACCCTAATCATTGTGCATACTCTTGTCTTCCCTCTTCAGCCCTACTCATATTATATAATGGGAAAGTTCAGCAAGAGGAAATGAGGATGGAGCAATCCTCCAACCCCATCCAAATCCCAGACAGATCTGCAGTCAGGCCTTGTGCAAACTGTGCCTTGTGCAGTGGCAGGAGAGGACAGGAACCCTGTGGGGATCAGCCCAGGCTGCCCATTCTGGTTTTGTGCCCTCCACCAAAGCAGTGCAGGTGGAACAGCAGCTTCATGCAGGCCCTGACTCTGGGCAGGGTTTGTGTGGAAGCTGATCTGCTGAGTGTGCTGTGCAAACATTAACTCATAAAGTCCTTCCAAGCAGGGTAGAGGGAAGAAATCAAGTCCCTACAGGGAGGTCCTTTTTCCTTCTTGTCCTGTAGGGACATAGGACAAGGAAGAATGGATTCAAACTAAAGGAGAGCAGACTTAGGACAGATATTAAAAATAAATTCTTTACTGTGAGGGTGGTGAGGCCCTCACAGGTTGCCCAGAGAAGCTGTGGATGCCCCATCCCTGGCAGTGCTCAAGGCCAGCTTGGATGGGGCTCTGAGCAACCTGGGCTGCTGGAAGGTGTCCCTGCCCATGGCAGAGGGTTGGAGCTAGTCAAACTTTTAAGGTCCCTTCCAACCCAAACTATTCTATGAAACCTCTTTGTAAATACCTAAACACTGACATCCATCCATGTGACAGCAGAATGAGGTTGTTGCAGGTTAAAAGGTTTTGCATCAGTGTCTAAATCCCATGTAATTTTTGTGCTGTGTACCTGCACTCTTTTGGAGGTGTGTGCAGTGCAGAGGTGAATTTGCAGAGCAAGCCAAAGCAGTCCTGTGAAAAAGCAATTTCCCAGACTTTGAGGAATCTCTTGATTAGCTATAAGAAATGAACATTATTAATAAATCAGCTAAAACACATTTTTTGCAATACAGCTGTCATTTCCTTCTTGTAGCTTACTTGGTAGTGTTCTGTTCAGTCACATTTCAACATACTGCCTTATCTAGAAACATTTCTGTGAGCATTTCTAGCAAGAAACTTACAACTATGAGGAGTATATAAATCAGTCTTTTATTAAATGATAATAAAATCATTATGAGTTTGATTATAGTAATATTAATTATTATAAAGCTATAAATACTACAATGATCTATCTATCCTCATGATAGATATAAATATAATCAAAACTGTAATAAATTTAAATTATAACTAATAGTTACAATTTACCTGTGTCAGACTCACACTCCCACAGGAGTTTTAACCTACTAAGGTTAAAAGGATATGTTCAGGATCATTTAATTCTCAAATTTCCTCATTTTCCTCAAAGCCTTGTACAAAGTGGGACACGTTCCCAGAGAGGAATGAGCCAGAAGGGCTAAACTTTTGCAAACAGAAGAAGTTAGAAGACCAGAGCCTGGAAAGATCTTTGGGCCCTGCAGTAAGAAGGCCTCCATTGCAACAGAAAATTACTATGGGCAGACTACTGACCTGCAGAAAAAAAGGTAATGGAGCCTCAATTAAGCAGCAGTTGGTCATTTAATTAGGTTGACAAGTGTCCAGGCTGTTCAGAGAATTCTCTTGCATAGGACAGGCCCAAGCTGTTTCTCCAACCACACTATGTATGGTTGGACTCAACGAACTTGGAGGTTTTTTTCAACCTTAATGATTCTAAGAATCTCTAATATAAGTCACCATCCTTCTCTCGTGTTCACACAGCTAACCACAAAGCAAAAGCTGCTCTGGAAGCGTTTCCCTCAGTCCTCCTTCTCCAAGCAACTTCTGGGGCTCAGATGAGCTGCCTCTTGAGAGGTTTTGCCTTGGGCTCACTCATCTTCTCTAGAGGGTAATTTTTTCAGGGCAGATGGAATGTTTTCTCTGACTCTGTGGATTTATGGCATCCCATCAACATAATAATACAGGGATGATGATGATGAAGTGGAACAGCTCAAGTGGAAGTCACTGGACAGGTGGCTTGGTTTTAGTAGTTAGCTTGGAGGTATTTCAAAACTTTGGCAGGTGTCAGTGATGCTGTTTGTACCATATGTTATTTATATGGCTTTTTTTATGGGCAAGAATGAGAGCAAGAGCTCTCAGAGAAATGGCATCTCACTGACTCAGTCAATGGTAGATGCACATCCAAGATCATCACAGCATCCCAATCATGAGCTATTTTTGTTAAGCTTAGTACTGCTCTGGTTTTTGAACTGTGTATTTTCATCCCAAAGCATTCTGGCACTCATTGCACTTGCCCTGCCTTTTTCTCTCTCCACTCACTGCAAAGGGACAGAGACAAGATGCCATCTCAGTTAGCACTTTAATTTTAAGGTGATTTAGCGCTGTCAGAAGGGGATGGTGTGGCAGTTCTCAAGATCAATATTTTCTGTCCAAGAGGAAGAGATAGTGCAGGGAGCAGGACAGATATTTCCTAGAATGACAGAACATGCTGAGTTGGAAGGGACCCACAAGGATCATTAACTCCAACTTCTGGGCCTGCACAGGACACCACAAGATTCACACCAAATGCCTGACTCTATTGATAAACACCTCATGGATTATGCCAGGCTTGATGCTTCCCTGGGGAGCCTGTTCCAGTCCCCAACCACCCTCTACCTAAAGAACCTTTTCCTAATATCCAACCTAAACCCCCCCTGACATGGCTTTATTCCCATTCATGTCACTGGTCACCACAGGGAAATTTCATGATTCCCATCTCTGTTTTCCTTCTGGAGCTTTCAGTGAGCAGCCTTGCTCTGCACAGCTGGAGAGGGCAGGGAGTGCCCAGTGGGGCTGCCAGGTTCTGTGCAGGAGAGGGGACTGCTGAAGGGCTGTCCTGTCCCCTCACTGAAAAAAGGGAAGGTGAAGAAGACACAAAACTCTTCCCTTTGCCCCCTGTGTTTTCCTCTCTGCCACTAAGTGGAAGAAAGGGATACCAGTCCTTGTTTTTGGGTTAGTGTGTGGGACAGTGCAGGGCAAGGACAAGCACCCTGCCACCTTAGCAATTTATACAGTCAAACATTCACAATGTTAGCCTTGCCAGTTCCAATCCTGTTGCACAACAGTGCTTTTTATGGGTGTTGAGCAAAGCCATTTTGAATGAGAGATGAAGAGTGCAGTAGCCTGATTTGCAGCTGTGTGCCTCAAGAACGTGGCATTTCTGTTTCTCTGTTAAACATTACTCAGTCTGTAATTCTTCTTTGTCTGGACTGGACAGATCAGTTGTTTCTGCTCATTGTAAATTGCATTTGCTTGCAGAGTTTGGTGTTTTGCTCTCTCCCCTTGGCCCCTGATTGTTTACATGTACCTCAAGCCATGCTGCATGGACAAGGTGGGAAGGCTCAGTTCTTTGTAGCTTCCAGCCAGGATTCACTTTACAGATGATAACTGGCAAAGCCATTCACCCCCTGGGCAAACATGGCAAATTCATTTTAAAGCCAGGCAAACAGGAACAAGTTCTTTGCCTGCATTTAGCCACTCTGAAAAGCCTTTTGCCAAGGACAGAAGGGTTATCTGAACAATCTGGGCAGAGTTGCTCTAAATGGGAGGACAGGCTGGAGCCAGAGAGCATGGGAGAAACAGAGTTATTTGTGAACACTTTACTGGAACTAAGAATTAACATCATAGCTCTGCTGGTTAATGGCAAAGTGTGCTGCCAATCCCAGCCACTGCCCCAGCTTTTGGCACAGCATTGCCATGTCTCACAGAGCTGGAGAGCAGCGAGCCACCTTGCCCTAGCCTGGAATCACCCCCAGGATACCCTGTTTTCTTTCACTGCCCTGAAAGCCAGTGCTTGTTCTGGCTTCCTGGCTTCCTGCCTCGCTGTTCCAAGCACAGCAAGGTGTGGGATGGAGACTGGAAGGCTGCAGGCTGTTTCTGAGTGCCTGTGTGGCAAATGGACAAACTCACAACCTCCATCCACTTGCCACATGATGATTCACACATAGTCATGACAATTTACTTTAGCAGTCAGCCTGCAGGGATGTTGTGGCTTCAAAAACCAAAAGCCAAAACCAGTATGGGAAAGCAGGACTGTTGCTACCTTTGGATGCTGACTGACCCTTTTCCTGCTGTGCTGTGGCTATCAATCCAATTCCAGAGGCCAACTGAGCAGGACTGCATAATCCAGCCTCTGCTATCTACATCTGTGTCTGCATACCTGGACACAGAGACACCAGCTGGGGGCAGAACATCCTGACTGGCACGTAGCAGAGTGCAACTAAGAGGGAGACACCAGCAATTAACAAGCCTCTGGAAGGAGTGACTGATTGAGAGATGCTCCAGACATCCAGGTTAAGCCCTTCATTTGACCCTGAGCAAATGATCCAACTCCTATCTGTAAAATAGGGTTAATGGCATTCTTCTGCTCTGTCGTGCTCCTAATGCCTAAAGAAGTGTTTGGAAAGCCTCAGTGGGAGCACATCAGGAGGAATCTCAACTGCTCTGTGCTAGTGTGCAGGGAAAAGGGTTTCCTGAGAAGCAGCACTGCAGGTTCACTCTCTGCAGACACTTGTGAGATTTCCCGGCTGCAGGAGCCCAAGGTGTGAGCACAAAGATGTGAGCACAAAGATGTCCCTTTCCTTCAGCACTCCCACCAGACACAGCATCTGGGGATGCAGCTGGACAGAGACTGCACCCTGCACCATCCACTCAGTGCCCTGCAGCAGCTTTGGCTGCAGCTGAGCTGCTGCTCTGCTTTCCCAGCACAGGAACTGTTACTCCTTCCCTGAAATACAGATGTTCTCACTGTTCGGCAGCAGTGCTCCCGTTTCATCACAGTGGCACACAGCATGTGCATCAAAAGTAGCAGAGAAGGTACCTTAACCCTTTACATGCTTAATGCCCTCATTTCCCCATCCTATTTAAGTCCCCTTGCCATTTGATTCTTGCTTGCCCACCCAAATCACAAAGGGACAGAAATCAGGGCAATTCTTTTCCATACTAAAGAAGAAAGTTAAACAGTTGTCATGCCCCTTGAAACTCAGAGAGCACTTGAGAAGAAGACTATTAGCACAATAGCTGGAGAACAAAAATAGCTCAAATTTGAACTTCCCAGAATATCACAAAGACTGTATTTGGTAGGGGCTTAAAGAGAGGGCATGTCTTTTCTGGCTTGATGAAGGGATGACATTCCTGTTTAGAACAGTTCTGTAATGCTACTGGCATTTTATTGCTACTAACTGTTGGTACACAGGATAGGTAGCTTTTAAAATAATCCTGAATGCTACCTTCAGCTCCAAGGATCTTGCTTGTCTTACACCAGTTTTGAAGGAAGGCTCATATTCTGCAGCTCAGTGAAGTCAGGGAGAATTTTAAATGCTTGTAGCTTAAGCTTTGTAAAGATGGCATGGCATAAGTTAATTAGGCTGGATCAGTTTTCCACACTTTCACTTTATGCATTGTTCCTGATCTGCCTGAATGCAAGTTAGCTGTGGAGTTACTCATATTTTATACCAGGGTGAGCAAGGTCTCCTTGAAATCACAGAAACCAGTGATCCAAGAGGAGAAAACAGGCCTAATGCTTTTCCTACTCCACCCAATTCTGCAGGGCAGGTTCAGGAGTGCCAGGCTTCCTGGAATTTATTTCAGCACAGATCTAATCCAGAGCTGGCTGTGGGAGCTGTCACTTACCTCAGGCTGCATTTGATAGGGCTCCAACAGTTCCCAGTTTTGGAAAATTTCTACTCCATCCACTTAGTCCTGTACCTGTCTCAGGTTTCTGTATCAAGGAGTTTAGCTAGTTCCACTTCAAAGTTTCTGCTTATTTAGATCTTTTTGATAGTGAGCCACAAATAGTGCTGAGCACTGACACCTCCCAAATTGTGCTCTTGGGCACCTATCAAATGTGTTGCACAAAGAAGATAACAGTTCATATTTGCTTAACTCCTTCAGTGCTCAGGGCAAACATCTTGGATTTAAGAGTGGCAAAAGGTGGGTGATGGCAAACCTGCAGCAAAGCAATATGTAAAAAAGAAGGAACAGTAATTGTGTGATGGTGTTTGATGCCATGATCTGATGTGGATCTTGCTTATGTATCCAAGATCTTCCTTGTCTATCCAAGCTCAAACCCAGCATGGTCATGAGGCCTTCCACTACCCCAGGGGAGCCCAAATAAAGAGGGAGAGGCACTTTTTACAAGGGCATGTGGTGACAGGACAAGGGGGAATTGCTTCCAAGTGAAAGACAGTAGGTTTAGATTAGTTATTAGATTATTAAAATTCTTTACTGTGATAGAGGTGAGACACTGACACAGAGAAGTTGTGGCTGCCCATCCCTGGAAGTGTTCAAGGCCAGGCTGGATGAAGCAACCTGGTCTAGTAGAAGGTGTCCCTACCCATATGAGGGGGTTGGAACTAGATGATTTTAAGGTCCCTTCCCAACCATTCTATGATTCCATGATTTACTGTCTTGCTTTGTTTCCCACTTGTAGAATGAGAACAGCTCACATCACTTTACCTGGCTGAGGAAGAAAAGATAAATTCAATGAGGAATACAATGTGTGTTTGGGGCACACAAACAGTGTTGTAGGAGAATTTCTGGCAAAGATACCACAACTCTCCAGACTGCTTTCTTACAAAACAACCAGCTTCAAGAAAATAAGATACCCCCTGGTCCTCCTGAGGCACAAAAAACAGAGAATCACAGAATGGTTTGGGTTGGAAGGGGCCTTAAAAACCATCCAGTACCAACCCCCTGCCATGGGCAGGGACATTTTCCATTAGACCACATTGCTCAAAGCCCATCCAACCCCATCTAGCTTGTCCCTAAATTTCTCAGTGCCAAGAGCTGGCAGGACAAGCTGTGTGCTCTTTTTTCCTCCCAGATTAGCAAGACCTACTGGGATAAGAGACTGGAAGTGAGAGGAAGAATGACAAATCAGTAAGTATAATTATTCCTTTCCATCTTGAAGATGCTCAGAAGAAATCTTTATGTAGTAAATTGAATTTAGCAATGCCTGGGGGAGACCCTGACTCATGCTTGGGGCTTTGAGGAATGGAACTAGGACTGGATGATTTATTAAAAAAAGAAAGGGGGGAGAGAACCCAAACAAAATGCAGTGTAACAGCAGGACTGCAGTGCTGAACATGGCATCACACTGAAAGCAGCTGGTTTTAAATGAATTCTGGTTCAGCTTGAGCTTGTTCTCACTGCAAGTCTCTCCCATGCTGGGCCAAAACTAAAGCTGTGCTGGGGTGTGGGGTGCCTGCCTTTCTTTTTTTTTCCTGCCACGAAGGAGAGCGCAGGGCCTTCAGCCTCTCTGAAACACAAGGGGCACAGGGCAGTGTCGCAGACATTTTTTCCACAGAAATCCTTTCTTTCAGATTTCTGCATTTTCTGGGAAGCTGAGGGCCCCAGAAAGAGAACGTAAACAATTATTATCAGATGCTGTGGAATGCAACAGGGGCACCTTGATTGGCTCATGTTTCTATGTTTATAATTAAAGGCCAATCACAGCTGCAAGCGGGGGACAGAGTCCCTGGACGCAACTTTGTTATAGATTCTTTCTTTCTATTCTTAGCTTAGCAGCAGCATCTGCAACCTCTCTCTTTATTCTATTTAGTATAGTTATAATGTATTATATATCATATATCAATAAATCCAGCCTTCTGATCAAGAAACAAGATTCCCGTCCATCTCTCACCTCCAGCGACCCACTCAGGACGCTGTAATAGGGCAGAGTATTTAAAATGGCTGGTACTTCTGCACATGGACCTGCTGCCCTCCCGTGGCTGCCAAGGAGCATCTCTAAAGCAGAAACTGAGATCAGGGACTGAGGGAAACAATAAAGAAAAATAACTCTATATTCAATTTAAACCAAACCCAGTTTGAGTTACAAGGAAGAGGAAAGCAAACACAGTGGGATTAGCTGGAAGTACCTATGAGGGCAAGAACAAAGAGCCTGAAGTCAGGTTTGATGAATCAGACCAAGAGTATCAAATGAAAGCTGTGTGCTTCTGCAAGGACTATCCTGTTTCTGGTTTTTTCATTATGATTGCGATGCTTCTTGTGCATCCTCTGAGGACAGGGCTCATCTCCAGTCTCTGACACACAGCAGACACTTCAGCAAAACAACCCCAGACCTCCCACCACAAGTTTCACTGGGGGGTTGCATTAGGCAGGCTCACCACTAGAGTTTTGCTCATGGACTTGGCTTCAGTCTTAGATCTTCCAAGACTGATGTGTGTCCAAGCTGCATTTGAGAGTAGAAGCAGGCAAACACACATTTCAGACTGGAGAGGAGGGGTGAGTGTGAGCAGGATATCCTCACACAGGAAAATGCCAACACATGGCACCTCCTAGAGGAATTGAGGTGTTGAGTGACACCAGCACAAGAAAGGTGTCCCCTCAGTGCAGCTGGCAGCTGTGCTGGTTCAGAGCATGCAGCAGTGACACCAGTGAATGAACACATCAGGCAGACAAATGCTTTGCTGACTCAAGGTGCCAGGTCACTGAGTCAGTAGCAGCCAGCTGTGAGTAGGGTAAATCCTGCCCTCTGCATTTCACATGCTGCACAATGTTAACATCACAACAAAACTTCACTTCATGCACAGGTGAAAACATCCAAAGAGATGAGAAATCACTCCACATAATTTTAAAATTTGCATGTCTGTGCGTACATGGACACACAAACACAAATATATATTTGTAGTAAATACATATGAACTTTTATACAATTATAAGCACTCCAGTATATCCATGATATACTCCTTTCACTCACCAGGACAATACATTCTGTTGCACTGCCAGAATCTCTTGCTCAGTTACCTTTTAAATTAAAATTCCTGTCAGTTCTGCAGAATTGGTCAGTGGAAGGCCAGTCTTTGGCAAACAGGTATCTGCAGAAAACCAGTGGTGATCCCTCAATATGTGAAGGGTCCCCTGCCAGTTTCCTTCAAGTATTAACTCTGCTTTCATAGAAATACAACCCTGATAAGCCAAGCAGGATTTTTCTTTCAGTATATACAAATAATTCACATCCTCTCTACACCATGCAATGCAAAAAGTAAAATCACGTTTCCCAGTGATTCTAATCTGATTTGGCCCCACAACTGTTTTCATTAAAAAGAACAAACACTAACACACAAATAGAAAAAGCAACTCTCACATAAACCTTAAAAATCAGCAAACAAAGCTCTACTGATTTACATTTCCAAAGGAAATACCTTTTAGTAGTAGTTAACTCTGCAGTTGTTAAGTCCAAACATTGCAAATGTGAGAAATGAGGATGGAAAACTGACAAAGAGCAAGAGTTACTGACTTGTCCAGACTGAGACACACACACCCCCCCCCCCCCTTGTAAAAACACTTATGCACTTCTTAAAAATTAGTCTGAATCACCTGTGTGATATCCTTGTTAATTATCAAAGCAGATGAGCTTGAACAGGTCTACTGGAAAAAGCACTGCATAAAATTGTGTAATTCAAAGCCTTTGCTAAGAAGTATTTCCAGAACTTAAATTCTATGTCTCTCAAAGACATTGCATTATTCATGAATTCTCACATAATGTTACATTTACTGACACTGATCAGCTGTCAAAGAAAACTGAGCTTGTTTGAGTAACAGACACAGGTAAAAAGAAAAGAAAAAATAAAATCACAGAACTTTGGCAGCTATTGAAAAACTGACTCAAAGAGTAGAAACAAAGTTATTTTCAAAGGTGGACAAAACATAAAGGTTCAGTCTGTCCTATGTATTTTTTACTGACATCAAGCACTGTGATTTTCTTAATGAACTCACTTGAGGGTGTATAGCTATTCCTAAAAGTAATGTAACAACAGATTGAAGTTTGCACCCCAATATTTTGATACAAACTATGACTGGATATTTCCAAAAGAGTTCCTTTGACACTAAATAGCTATTTTAAAATTGGCAATTAAAAAAATAATCTTTAAACAGTACAAAAACCTAGGTAAACCAAGTCTCAGTCAGTGTTAAGAGAGGACCTCTTAATAAAGGGAAGGTAAATCCTCCTTTGGAGTAGTTACAACAATGCACAGAAATGAGACCAGAAACACAGCAAGTAAGGTACAGGTCTGATTTACTGGAGTTGTTTAGTCATTTCCACCTTAGGGTCGCTTCAGGATTGTAGCAATGACCCAGAAAAATATTTCCTAAAAAATAAAATGTTGGGAGGAGAGAGCAGTGTCTGTTTCTGCACGCTGAGGATCTGATGTGCTGCAAGGGGCAGCCCTGCCTCCATCAGCTGCTTGCTGCACTGGTGGATGTGCTCAGAGCCTGATATTCCACCATCCCAGCACTGACATCCTGCCTCAGTCCCTCCTGGGGATCCTGTCTCAATCACCATGTCTAACTGAGGCCAGGATAAATGGGCCTTTGGGGCAATTTCAGCTGCACAGCAGAGTTCAGCCTCACTTCTTCAATGGCTCACACACTGCTCTGTGCATGCTCCCAGCTGGGCTTTTCCAATCACTTGCACCTTGTGTTTGCACACTTCAGAAGTGTAGATTTAGAAGTTCTAAGTGAAAACTTAGAAATTCTAGACTATGGTAAAAGATGACTGGAGTTCCAGGGCTAAAACACTTTACTTAGCTCCTGGAAGATCAGACCCCTCACCTCTGCAGTGCTCCATGCCACATACAGGTTTCTGTGCTCACAACAGCCACTGTGCACATCAAATAAAATAAAAGTAACACTCTGACATCAGCAAGGAGCCAGGCTTTTCACCAAGAGAGCCAGGCTTTTCACCAAGAGTCCTGTGAAAAATCTCAGTTCAACATGTAACTATTGGATTTTTAGTACACGGCATATCAAGGAATTAGTGTTTTCCTTACAAATATATGGCACTAAGTGTAAAAACTTTATGACCTATTCCAAACATTGTACCATACTTCACAGCAAAGCTTGAAAAAGAATCCTCTAACTCTCACTTCTTCTAAATGTACAGCTGGTGGGAGGCCAGGGTGTCCATGAAGGGTCGCACGAGGTTGTCTGTTGAGAAGTAGAAGATCAAGCCAAAGGTGATGGAGATGGGGAGAGCAGGCAGTGCTTTCTTAAAAACAGCCAGTAGTAAAAGTGTTAGGCATAAACCCTGTCAGAGAGAACAGAATAAAAATCACAAGGAGGTAATAGTCGGACAACCAGAAATTCATCTGTCACCAACAAACCAACACACAGATAATTATCTAAATGCACTGCAGAGCACTGCACACTGCCTGAGCTACCAGCAGCAGAATATCCATGTGCCCACAGCTTCATCTTTCACACAAGCTGGCCAGGTTTTTCCTCAGCAATGTTGAGCACAGAAATCTCTGCTGAGAAAGTGCCATAAACAGCAAATGCAGAGGTACAGCTGACCCCAAGAGGGTAACTTCTGTACACATTATTTTACTCCTCGTTCTGTGCCATTATGAATGAAGTACTGATCCAGCAGACAAAAGCACTTAAATCCTGGTGAATTGCATAGATAGGAGTTCCACTGAAGGTTTCTAATACTTATAACACATTACCAGTTTACAAAGTCCTTTAGGGTAAAAAAGAAAGAAAAACAAAAAAAACCACCCAAACCCAAAAGGAAATCAAAAATCCACTGCTGTTCTTTTGGCTGGATTGCTTATTACAATGGGTGAATTTTGGTTTTACCCAGATTTTCTTTTACATTCTAAAAATCCTGCTGTTGTCTTTCTGGTTAATTTCCATGAGGATGTTGAGGTAAACAGCAAGTGCATAATAATTATTTTCCACTCAGGTGGAAGCTTAACAGTGTATCTACATTAGACCTGGCAGGACCAACTCTTTAGCAGCCACAGTATGTTAGTCATCTGCCCTTACTGATAATTTCCATGGATTTCAGTCTCCTTCCTTCTCATTTTTTTCCAGCTCAAATAGTAGAATAAGACAGGTCCTTACTCTCTTATCTATCAGCTCCCCCTAGCATAACAGAGTTAACCTTTTCAACTACACTTGCTAATCAGTGTGCAGTTCCAAATATTGACTCTTGTGAATGAAGCAAACACACCAGCAGTTCCTGGGGCTGTTTCAGCCCCACCACATCCACACTTGGCTCTGCTCTGGTTAGTCTGGATCATTCTGCTGCAGTGCCTATCTAGAGACAGAGTACTCCTGTCTCCAGATAGGCACTGCAGCATTCCTGAATTCCTAAATCCAGGTTACCTGGGCTGATTCAGCAGTGCTCAGCTGCTGGTACTCCTGGCAACACTTCTGTGCTGAGCAGGCTGTGACAGAGCTTTTAAAAGCTGCTCACTTACTATGAGAATGGCTACAAAGCAGGCCAGTGTGGTATTCCAGTCCCCACTAGCTGTGGCAGCTGCTTTCCCAACAAGCACGCTGTAAAATATGAAGTCTCCAAGGCCCAGCTTCACACCCCCTGAAAGAAGTGGAAAAAGAAAAGAAGTGTTAATTCTCAGCCTCCTGTTTTGCTTCCTCCTGAACAAATTCTTGTCCCCTGGGGAGCAGGTAAAGGTTGCTAGTCCTGGCTACCAACCTGGACCCACACATTCCTGAGGAGGCTGAGGCTTCCAGCCCCTCTTCCCACTAATTGCCTTGTTTTCCCTCATTCTCTGAGGCTGCTTTCCAAATGAAGCAGCTGAGGAAGCACAAGGACAGAGAGGGACAGGAGTCAGGGGGAAGAAGGAAGTGTTTTAAATTGTACATGTAGCCAACAGATGTCACTGGAACCACAATCCCAGAACAGATTCTGCAGCAGCAAGAGGAAATACACAGTCAGACTCAAGATCTTCATTGCTCAGCAAGCACAGCTATTCAGATTAACTGTGATTAAACCAAACTAGGAACAGAGTGTTAAGCACAAAGAGTAAAAATGTCAGGCTCTAATTACACTGCAAACAAGGTATAAAGCTTCCCTTACTTTCCTCCTCCTCGAGCTCCTCTAAAGTGACAGGGCGGGTTGGAGCAGGACCTCTTGTCTCTGACATCTGAGACTCTGCATGAGAGGGGCTCCTGAGCTGTTCTCTGCCATCCTCAGCTTGGGTCCACAAAAACAGGCCAAGAGTGCATTACCAAAAAAAAAAAAAGAAACACAAGAGACAGCTACATTTATAACATGTTTTAGCCCACGAAACCAACACTCCTGTGAAGCTGCCCTGCAGTAGGTGAGCCCTTTGTCTCCTGGAGATGTGACCATCAGGACCAGCTGAAGCAGGGACATTTGGTGGCTCTGAGGGAAATGTGTGTGTTATTGTTTGGAACAGCTGGAAGTTTGGCTGTTCCCAGCTCCTCTAGCAGCCACCCAGGATCTCAATGGCTTTAACAAGGGAGCAGGTACACAGGCATAACACTGCTCTGCACAGGCCACAGTGACAAGGCAAACCCAGCAAAGTTAATGTGTATTCCCAGTGTTATTCCTCTGGGGTGGAGGTGCTCAGGTATTCCCCTAACCAGACTAAGAGGAGAAGTGAGAGAAGTCCTGAGTCACACTGACATTCTTGGAGCTGACTGTTCACATGTAGAAAGCAAGACACATTTCATTGTCCTCAAATTTCACTTTTTTCCCCCCTCTGTCAAAGCCCATCTGACAGAGCCTTTGGCAGTACTTTTGGAAGCAGCCACTCTGTGATATATGACTTTATCTGACAACTCCTATTTTTCAGAAGCTCCTACAAACTCTTCAGTCCCTGTCAGCGTGACAGGTTGCTGCTGCTGCAGGTGCAAGCAGATCTGGGACACAGCTTCCACAGAGCATTCTGCACCCCTCAGCATGTGCCTGCTCTGTGCCTTTTCACAGCAGGATTGTGTCCCTGCCATCCCTTGGTATGTCAGCTGCTTCATCCTGAAATAAGCAGCATGTTCAGTTATCAAACCTCTGCACACATTTACTGCCTTAACATTCAAAAGTACTGTCATCTCTGAAGTGCAACAGGACTAGATGGGAAATCCTCCCAAAACCATGTAAGATTTGATTCAGTCACCTTAAAACTGCAGTTTAATTTGCATCTCAAGAAGATAAAAGCAAAGGCACCCAAATTACTGCAGAACCAGCTACAATGTAAACTTGAATCACAAAAGCTACTGGTAGGTAACTGCCTTAACACAAGGCTTTACCCATGGGAAAAGACATTTATTTTCTTTAGCAGGGTGAGCCATAGAGCCCTTACAGAGAGGTGCACCATGGCACTGGTCTGAATGCAGCACTGAATTTCACCAGCTCATCAGTATTATATCTAGGAGCCTGTGTTGTAATTTACCATCCCCAGTATGGAAAAATATATGAACATCACATATAAACCCACTAGCTCACTTTCAGCTTTGACTTCAGTACACTGAAGATGTGATTTGAACAACACTTCTGCTTGATTTGTTGTTTGTTTGGGTTTTTTTAGAATAAAAGTGGCCTGAATACTGGAGCTTCCTACACTGTCTGCTCATCTTTGCTGCCAGTCCTAACAGCAGGTTTATGAACATCACTGAGTTCTGCAGGTAACAATGCTGAAAAAAAATTCATCCATCAGGATTTGGGGGCTTATGTTACATTCAATCTCAAACATACTCATTATTTCTGTAGGACAGTGCTGTGTATGGGAGAGGAACATGCAAACAAACCTGCATCCCATGTCTGCTGACTTGCTCCTCTTGCTGCTGTGTCTGGCTTTGCCATTCCAACTGTCCACATCATAGCAGCTGCAAGAAAGAAAGAAAGTAATCAGCTGCACAAATCATTGGCCACTATAGCTCAGAGGAAATAAGTATTTAGCTGTCCCTAAAAATACAAACCCTTGCCCCTGTAAATGCTTCTAAAACACCCAGTTGGTTTCCCTAAGAACTGAGACAGCAAGGTGGGAGAAAGCCAAGGCAATGCATCCATTCAGTTTTTAAGAAAGTCCCAGGGCACAAGTAGCTAAGAGTCAATTTAATCTTCTCTGTGGACTAAAGAAAGCAAAATTCCAGAACTAGGGTCTGCAACTCCTTTGGTTTCTTCCTGATTTCTGTCTCTTCTCTTCAAAGAAAACAATGTCCCAGGGAATGATGGTGATACCAAAGGTAACCAGAGGTTAACCAACAGAGCTGGCTCATGTTCTGCTAAAGGTACAAGTGAGGGATTACAGGAGCTGTCAGAATTCAAGTTTTCTCTCTGCCTGTTGTGGTTCCATCCTGTCAAAATATTGCATGCTTCTGTTTTGGTTCTAATAGCAACTGATGGTTGGTGGTTTATTCTTGGGATCCTTAAATTGAAAAGGAATACAAACCTTTCCAAAATCAGCAGAAGGGACTTCAAATCAGCTTTTTATTTAAGTATGCATCAGTCTCATTGATTTTATAGAAGCTAAGCTAAAGAAAGTAAGCCAAGGCAAACCCAGTGCCTGCTTTTCCATGGTGAGCTCAGCCAAGGTGATGTTTTTGCATCTAGAGGGAGCCACAGAATGTAGCCTTGCAAAGGAGACACTGACATTCTGCACAAGAACTTTTTGTTCTTTATTTATTATTTGCTGAACTGCATTCTCCTTTAGGGAAGCTCTTGTTTGTTAACTAAAGCACGGGAAAGACTTCATCTAGATTGTCTCAGGTCAGGGTAACAGAATCTCCTGTAAAAGGGAAGGCAGCTGAGGTGAGCTGAGACTCTGCTTGGAACACATAAAAGCATTTATGTAACATTAAATGCTTGAAGAAAAAAAAATCAGTCAGGTTGTAGGCATCCTCAGCTTGGGACCAAACATTTGGGAATAACTTTTCAGCTTCCAAGTGATGTAATGAAAAAGTCACTGAGGTCCATTGTGACAGTGTTCACAGGGGTCTAAGGATGAGGGAAGAGATGAGGATCTGACTCCATGTTTCAGAAGGCTGATTTATTATTTTATGATATACATTATATTAAAACTATACTAAAAGAATAGAAGAAAGGATTTCATCAGAAGGCCAGCTAAGAATAGAAAAAGAAAGAAGAATAACAAAGGTTTGTGGCTCAGCCAGCTGGGCTGTGATTGGCCATTAATTACAAACATCCAACATGGCCCAATCACAGATGCACCTGTTGCATTCCACAGCAGCAGATAATCAATGTTTACATTTTGTTCCTGAGGCCTCTCAGCTTCTCAGGAGGAAAAATCCTAAGGAAAGGATTTTCCATAAAAGATGTCTGTGATAATCCATGAAGCACTCGAGTTCAGGTCCCATGAGTGCTGAGTCTTCTGCCTTCCAACAATCTCCTCTCAGGCATGTGGATACCTCTGACAAGGACACCAGACACTGTGGTAGTTAAAGAGCCCAAGAAAACCAGGGCAGAGAGAGAGATGACTGATTCTGTTTGCAGAGCAATACTTGAATGCAGCTCTTTGCAAAGTGAGGAGCCAAACAATGAACAATAAAGCAAATTTCTAAGCACTGCCATCTGTACAGTACAGAGGGGGCTGCAGGAAGCATGGAGCCTCATCACACGTTTCAAGTGTGTCTGTAAAGCACACACACAATGAATAAATGTATTGAGTGAGCATCACCTCATCACAGAACTGGGCAAACACTGCTGCCCACCGCACACAGGGTTTTGTGTGCACAAAAAGAGGAATTTTCTGCACTGTATTCATGGAAGGATTCATCTGTTTCTGAACATCCAGCTTCACAAGGTAAATGTGAGCTCCCTTGGCTAATCAGAGTTAGCAACATTGTAACTGATAAACAAGGCCGCCTACAAAATCCAGAACATAACTGGGCACCATTCTCAAGGCAAGAAAGTACCCAAGACAAGAAAATACCTTTGCTTTGACACAGACAAAGAGTTTCATCTGGCTAAAAACATTAACATTTTAATCTTACTCACAGGAATATATTAATGCAGGGAAAATGGGCTCATTTCTCTCCTGTGCAGTTTCTACCAACATTCTCAGTGGCCCCTTGGGACAGAGAACAGCCATCAGATCTGCAGAAAGAAAAGGACCAATCTCATATTCAACTGTCATGCATATTTTACATTCTTTAAGATGTTCTCCCCTTACATTTACATCTATCCATATAAACCAGATGATTTCCTGAATGGCACTTTCCACCACTTTGCATAACTCTAGCTGTTTCAAGCCCCTGAAAGTGCTGTTCACTTAAAATACCACCTCCAAGCCTTAATGTAATAATAAGAGTTTTCACTGTGTTAATCCTATAAAAAGCCCCTTGAGAATACCACATGAGATCTTTGAAAGCTGATGGCAGCATTTCACTGAGATGTTACATTTAATTAGAGGAGAAGTGGGGGTGCTTTGTTCACATTCCACACTCCATCACTTCACACACTGGCTCTGGTTTCACATGCAGGAAGGCCTTCAGTCCAGTTCCATCACATCTCCTCCCTCTTGTCCTGCAGGTTCTCTTGAAATTTAGGACTCACACCAAAAACCATGATCTCTTGACAACAATAAACAAAACCTGCAAGGGTCTGCTACTGATAAAAATCCAGCCACCCCTACCATGCAGTGAGGTGAGGTTCAGTTCTTCCCTGACTTGGTGATCCACTTTGAAAGACCTGGCTGAGGTACACTCCCTACACGAACAATTAGCAAGAGACAAGACAGGGAATTAATTAATAGCCCATCTGGCACTTTCTAAAGCTTTTAGCACCATAAAGTTGTTGTTTTTCTGAAGGACATACAGAGCCCTGAGATTGCCACATAGTAACCTCTCCAGGAGCCACACCTTGAGAGTCACAACCCAGACTCACCATAGATGGAGATTGCACCTAGGATCACCCATGCTGACCACTCAGGTAGATATTTAATGAACACCAATGCCATCAGAGCACTGATCATAATGAGATAAGCTTGCTGGAGCTGCAAGGGACCTTTCCAGTGGATGCAAATCATTCCAACAGCTCCAAAATTCCAGATGACTATGAACAAAGTGGGGTAATCCATGGCCACGTTGTAAGTCTTCAATACTTCCCTGGAATACCACAAGAAAATTCAGCTAAGCAGTGAAAGCCAGTGACATGCAAAGTCAAACAAAAGGTAAGGCTGTAGCTAAATAAAAAAGCCCCCAGCTACACCAGGAGGAAGCAGAATAGAGCAACTCCCATCATGAAAGGGGAACCTGCCCTTTGGCTGCTTGCTGCTCTGAGCTCTGCTCCTCCTGCCTGAGATGGGCTGTGTTACAGACCAGCACCCCACTGCCTTAGTGCTCAGTTCAACAGCAATTCCAAGGGTTTGAGCAGGCAGGATTTCAAGTCTTAAATGAGCACAGGGTTGTGGCTACATGACTGTCTACAGCAAAGAAATTCTGTCAGTGTCATCCCACCACCAAGTGCAATATGCTCACGGTTAAAAATGAAAATGCCTTAACAAATGTCTCACCCACAAGTTAAAAGTTTCTTTTCACCTGAGCTGGGAGCTGAGGGAATGAGCTTGAAACAATGTTGTCTAAGAAAAAAGACAAATCAGGAAAGTAACTTGGCACATGAAATGCCTTTCCACATGCTTCTCAATGTATAATGCAGGGCCTCTGTACCACAGGATTCAGCCTGTTCATTCCATGCTCACAGTATCACTGCCCAGCGATTTCTGTAAAATTGAGCATTGACTATTAAAGATCTTCTTTTCCAGTTTTTAAAAAAGAAAGCTATCTTCTTCAAACAACACTTAAAAGTCCATTTGGAGAAGGGGAGACATTCCTTTTCTTGTTCAAAGTGGGAATTGTCAGCAAAGAGGTGAAGGAGCCCTGAACTGCCAGGTTACCTGCACCACTCCCACTTACCCCAGGTAAATGTAGGTAAAGAGGAAGAGCAGCATCAGGGAGGACAGGATCAGCCAGCCATGGATGAACTGCCAAGGGCAAGAAGAGACAGTGATTGTAGGGGCTGTTACCCCTGCTCAGGTCACAGAACTGCAGCCCAATAGTCTCCTTCTGCTCTCCCAAAGACCCTGCCTTCCCTATGGTCACTGATGGAGGAGGGCCAGCCAGTTTCTCCTACTTTCATTTTGTTTTCTGTCCCTTAGCATTTTAGCTGGTTTGGGTTTATTTCAGTCTCTGGCCTAAGCATTTTCATGGGTATTCAGACTGGCTCATATAGGTGAGCACATTCTTTCTGTTTGCTAGGAAGGAGGACGGGTTTGCCCAAGGCTGTAAAATAAACTCTGTTATTGGGACAAGTTTAAAAAGCAGGAATGGACAGAGCTCAAATGCTGGGCTGGTACCACATATAAGAACTCCCTGAGCACCATAGACCCTGAATGTACCTTTCTCTCCAAGCCCTGTGCTCTTCTACCAGAGCTTCCAGAAGGCAGAAATAATACCAGTTCCCACAAAGCTTGTGTGAAATATCTTAATAGAAGCATCCACAGTAAGTGGTACAAGTACAAATGGCAAAACATTTGGATCAGATGGAGAAGACTCAGACCTGACTAACACAAAGTGGCAGACCTTGTTTTTAAGGGCCTGCCATTAGTGACAAAATAACAGCAAAGCCTATTCAGAGGCACAGCTCCATCACCACTGACAAAGACTCCTGCACAGTGTAATTCCTGCTGTGCCCAGCATGAGGATGAGCCAGTGCAGTGCCGGTGTCCCTCACTGCCATGCAAGGCCCATTTGATCCTAGGCTCAGAGCACAGAGTGGAAAAGGCTCTGGCAGGGATGCTTTACCTTGTAGCAGCGATATTTATAGAGCAGCACCAGGAACACAGTCATGACAATGATGACACTGATCATTACAAGGGTGTTCAACACCGAGTTCAAGAGACGCTGCCCCACAGATGGGGTGTCCTCACTGAAAGGGGTGTAGATCCTGCAGGATAAAGCAAAAGCCACAGAAAGTACAGATATTCTCTTCTAAGTATCTGTCCCAGATAAAACCAGACCTCTCTGTGTGTGGGAAAGAAAGGGAGGTAGAACTGCCAAGGACAGCAAACATGAGATGTAGGCTGGGCACAAGTTAATTATCAACTAAAGATTAGTGGTCTCTATCAAAGGCACGTTCTTCAGAGCAGCTGGGTTCCCAGGTGCTGTTCTGAAATAGGGACACCCTTTCTTTCCACACTTGGTAGGAGAGTCTTGGACTCTTTTATCCCTTCTCACCACCCTATTTTGTTTCCTTCCATTCAGTTCAAGGGACAAGTCCCCCTTTCTCCATGCCATATGTGAAGCAGTTACAGCCCCAGGAGCCAGGCACTGTCAGCAGGAGCTGGAATTACGTATCCACACCACGAGTCTTTAGGAACCAGAAATATCACCAGGAAATGAGACACTCATCCAAATGAACATGCTATTCCCTCATTGCTGCCAGCTACTGAGTGAACACTCTAGGAGCTCAGCCTGGGCCTTTTCTGCTGCAGAATGAAGCAGTTTCATTATTGTGCAGCTCACAGGCCTCACTCAGGGCACCCCAAATGACATCAGTATAATGCAGGTACATGAAAAGCTTACACAGGTGAGCTCTGTGTGTGTTCCTACAGCCACCTGTGCCTGTGTAAAGGTTCTCCCAGGCTGCCAGGGAAGCACTCTGCATGCCCAGAGTGTGTGTGTGGGGCAGGGGTCCCACATACTGAGGCTGTTTCAGAGCCCACTTACAGCTGCCCGTTTTTCTCCGTATAGAAGCGCACTGACTTGATGGTGGCGACGACAACAATCATGCACAGGGTGACAGGCACAAAGAGCATGATTACATGCTTTGCTCCATATTTCAGAGTCAGTTCCTCTTCTTCATTTTCCAGGATGCTTTCTCTCACTGGAACATCCGAGCCAGACACTTCTCCACCGGCGATGTTGTTTGGGCCACGGCTGCTGCCTGCTCGCCTCTTCTGAAAAGAAATATTTGCAAATGTGTAAGATGCTTCTTTTCTTTGTGTTCAAAGCTTGATGCCATCATATCTCATGAGGCTGCTGTAGGCCACCAGAGCACAGCAGCTGAGTCCTAACAGAAAGGTACAAACTGAACAATACAATTAGAAATTCCATTAAATTCCACTGCAAACAGGTTGCAATAGTTTTTAAACCAATCCCATGAATGCCTAAGGACCTCTTCTGTCACAGACATATTTTATGAAAAGTCCTTTTGTTAGGATCTTTTCTCCTGAGAAGCTGAGAGGCCTCAGGAACAAAATTTAAACAATAATTATCTGCTGCTGTGGAATGCAACAGGTGCATCTCTGATTGATCTCATGTGGTTGTTTCTCCTTAATGGTCAATCACAGTCAGCTGTCTCGGACTCTCTGGTCAGTCACAAGATTTTATTATCATTCCATTCTTTTCTATTCCTTGCTAGCCTTCTGATGAAATCCTTTCTTCTATTCTTTTAGTATAGTTTTAATATAATATTTATCATCAAATAATAAATCGGCCTTCTGAAACATGGAGTCAAGATTCTCGTCTCGTCCCTCATCCTGGGACCCCTGTGAACACCACCACACTCTTCACATACACATATATAGACAGACACATGAACATGAAGGGCAAGGTGCCCAGAACTAGACAGAAAAAAATGTCATCTGAGGTGACAAAAGCTTGACATGTTCCTCCTCTCTCAGCAATGCTGTGCTTGCTTTATCCTGCTGCTTTGCTGGCAGCTGGACTAGATTCTGTTCTAACATTAGCTGCCTCTGACCAGAGCAGACAAGAAGGCTAAAAGGGATGTCCTGCAACAGTCAAATATGCATCAGGTCCTGATTAAAAGCCTGATTTGGCATCTTTATCAAAAGGAAGGAAAAGGGAGGGGTACATATGGGGGAAAAGTCAGAGTGGAGGAAATGGCAACAGGCAGTGCTGCTGCTGGCTGTGTGTGACACCGGTGAAACAACAGCAAAGCCAATCCTAGAATCCAGCCTGGAAGGAGGGACTGAGGGGCAGCAGCACTGCTTCTGTCAGCACACACCTACCCTGTGTGCCTGTGCTTCCCCTGCCCCTGAGGCCGGCAGGCCGTCCTGGTAGGAGGGGACCGGAGGGCTCTCGGCAGACATGAGGGACGTTCGCTCATTGCAGGGCTCCTCCTCGCTGTCCGAGTTGTTCATGAAGGCGATCATGGCCGCTGCCCTGGGGGCGCTCAGGAGGGCACAGCCAGCACTGCCCGAGCCTGGGGGGACAAGCAGAGCAGGAGGAGAGAACAGTGAACACCACGCTGCAAAGGGCTGAAAGTCTGAGGAGGATTCAGCAGATTTCACCAGGGAGGCTCCATCTCCTCCCAACAGCAGGTTTGTCCTGCCCTCACCCAGCCACGGCAATCCCTTCAGTTCGAGTCACTGGGACTGCTGCAGGCACGGCTATCAGCACAACGCAGCACTAAAGAAACTTGCTTTTCCTTTACCACAGCTTCCACACCTGCTGCCTCTATTTCCCCTCTCCCACCAGCACACCTTGCCTTCCACAAAGGAGGTTCCTCAGTGCTCAGTGTTTGTTTGGCAGACACAGATTCACCTCACACACAGGCTGCCTGTCCGAAAGCTCAGCTCTTACACAACACTCCCAGGAGCATCAGCAAGGAGCACAAGTTTCTTAGTAACCTGGAGCCTCAGCTCTACATGAGGCACTAATCAGGAGCTACATGCTGTCTTATGACTGTTTATTAACCAGATGAAATTTATTAGCAGTGCTTCTCTCTGCTGATGAAGAGGTTTGCATAGCAGGGGAAGCACCTGTCTCCTTTTAGGAGAGCCACTTGTGGGTTTTTCCTTAAGTTGTCTTGTGATTAAAAGCAAAATTACTTGAATGGGCAAAAACACAAAGAAAAATGTGAGGGCTAGAAATGCTTGGCCTCTTTTCACCTACTGCTATGCAGAAAAGCAGGCAAAGCAATGACAGTGCAGAAAGGAAAGGAACAGCTCTTCTTCCTAAACACCAAAGGGAGAAGGTGCACTGCCCTAAATATGGCAGAACAGCCTTAAAATCAGGATTGCAGGAAGTTATAAATGCAACTAATAGGAAAATTCCTTTTAGCGTGTATTAAGTCAGCTTAACAAAACAAGTAATTAATCACTTTTCTGATACCCAGCCACATGTCCAAAAGCAAAACCATACCTCTGTTGCATTGTCAGCAGTTGTACCTACCAGAACTCTTCTCTACAGAAGCTTACCCAAGTTCCTGTGTCTCAGGAAATAGGAGAGGAAGCTGAAGAAGCCACGTGATTTGGACACAGTCACTGAAATCTGAATCACACATTCACAGCCCAACCAGCACACCCTGACATCAGAGTGTTTGCTTTGAAGATCTGTGAGATATTCTTGCTTCTCACTAAAAGAACTGAAATTCACTTTGGAGGAAGGAAAGAGGGAGGTGTAGGAGACGCCTCCTTTCTTTCACAGCCTCCTCAACACATCTGCACCTTCAAGAAATTTTAGAACATCAACTCAATCCACCCAAAAAGGGAAACATTTTTCAGACATCTGCTCCTCCCCTGGCTTCTCTTGCTTTTTCATATCATTTTGTTCCTCCTTTGGTGATAAAAGTGGTACATTATGGGCTAGCCCTCACACCAGGCCTGTCAGCTTCATTGTAATCCTGTTCTTACTGAGTGAGCTGCTTAACACTTGTGTGCTTATTTCTTACAGAGACCAAGATCTCCTCTCTGGATGCTTAACACACTTTATTTAATTATTTTATCTTTACATATTTATTATATTAATAAATTATATTTCAATATTCATATTATTATATTATTTAAATAATTATTGAATGAATTTGTTATTTATAAGTAATTTGCTCACTCTTTTGACTGAGCACCTGAGGGCTCACAATTTGCAGCTGGGACACCAGACTCTGCTCCAGTTCTAGGATTTAGGTCTTTAAAGAAGCCAGATCCACAGTCATTCAATCATGACATACTTCTGGATGAGGAACAGGATAAGTTATTCATGCCACAGGATCTGTGACCTACAGGATTTAAATAACTCTCAAAACCTTCTGCTCCTGCCAGACACCAGGGAGGAAATAAATAAAGCTTTATTCACTGATAGTGTGGGACCCAATCAAAACACTGAAGAACTTTTTCTCACATTATTTAAGAAATCATTTTTGCCACATAAAGAGAGCAATTCTGCAGAGGACTCTGAAGGGACAGCCAGTCAGCCTACTTTCAATACCCTACTTATGCCCACTGGAGGAGTTAAACCAATAGCAAAACCTCTGTGCCAATTACTAACCTTCACAGCTACATGGGAAGAAATAAACTCACGTTGAAATACAGCCAATTTTAAGGACATTTTCTCCCAGGCTCCCCCAACAAGGAGATAGAAGTGCCATGATACTTCTGCTCAGCAAGCAGATTCAGAGCTGAACACAGCTTCAGTGTCCCTTGTTTGCACAGCCAAGGCTCCAGTGAGGGCTGACACAAACACACCCCAAGGGATCCAAGACTTTACAGGTCTAGGGTACAAGACTCTAGAGGTCTTCTGCCTTAGATTGATCTAAACTGTCCTGCAAAGGGCTGTCTCACCACCCTCCAACTCTCATCAGCGCCAGGTGCTCATCACCTGAGTCACAAAGCCACACTGTTCTCTGGTCTCATTTCACTGCTAAAACTAAGGAAAAGGGCCTTGTGGAAATTGTTTCTGCCAGCCAAAAGGATATTGCACACGCCACAATGGAAAGCAAGGGAGCTGCTTTCCTACTCATGCTCATGACAGCAAATATGCCTGTGCATACTGACTGATTTTCTAGGCTGAGCTGGAAAAGGGAGGAGGACAGCTCAGGAATGGAAAACATGAGATAAGTATAAGCTGTGTCTGTATTCACAGAAAGCTTGAGAGCATGATCTGCCCAATGCATTGAACAAAATTCCAGGCCATTATCAAAGTGAAGCACTAAGTTATATCAGGCAAGGTTCTCCTCTGCCTCTCACACCATCAGGTCCCATTCAAAAAAATCATACAGTGCATAAGAGCAAAATGACCCAACTCACAAAACTCTGTGGAAAAAATGAAAGAGGACAAAAAGTAGGCCAGTAGTAAGTGCTTCTTACAAGAGCTGAGGTGGGAATACAATTACTCCTGCTTTACAGCAGTCTTGTGAACTCTGAAGGGAAGCAGGAGTCACCAATTCTCTTTCCAGATGTCCTTCTTTCCTCAACTGCAAAAAAACAGCTTCATGGATTTTGATTAAACTGGGCCAGTTCACTAACACTGAGATCTAGCCTCAGTTTGCCTTTTATTTTCATGCTGCAAACAATCTAAACCCTTTGCTTTGCATTTCATCCATCACAAATAATATCTGTACAATATACAGCACAGAATAGCTGCTATGGCCTGGCAGAATACTTAATTACCCACCTGAGAGTTAAAATTCCTTCTTATTCATATTGTTCTCTTTGATGGCAATTAGATTAAGAAAAATGTATTTTCTTTGCTATATTTAGATCAAGAGAAAGCTTTGAGATGATACTGACAGCCTGGTGTTGCAAGTTTTGACTGCAGGAAGCAGTGCTGTTGATAAATATGAAGAGAAGGAAATAAACTTAAGAAATCAGAAGTGGTGAGGCCAAAATTAGGAGGAAATATTTCCATGTTCTTGCTAATAAATATAGTCAGAATGGGCATGCTGCTAAAATGCCAGGGAACTTGGAACACACCATCTCAGCGTGCAAACACCGCTCACTTTCCGCCCCAGAACACAAAAATAACAAACCACAAGATGCTCTGGGAAGGAGTAAAGATCCGTAGCTTTCTTTCTACATTGTGGCTGAACCAGCACTGCTTTCTCTTGTCCCACAAGAAAGGCACAAGGTGTAGTTCCCAAAGGGCGATTCTGGTGGCAGAGCTGAAATCAGACCCTGCCCAGGAGGGTTTTTCTGGCAGCACTGAGCCCAAATACTCCGTGTCACAGCATGAAGGCACCACAGCCCCACACAATAAAACCTCAAAGCTCACACTTCTCATGCGGGAGCTGCAACTCGCATCGGTCCCAGCATTGCCGAGGGCATCAGAGCCAGCACAGGGGCTGGAGGTGACACTTTGGGGACACCCAAGGACACCTGTGCTGGGCTGAGTTTGTGTGTCCTGCCCGAGTGGCCGCTTTCCCCTGTGCCCCCCACACAGGGACACAGCGGGGCTGGGCCGCTGCCCTGCGCATCCAAGGTGCACACCCAGCGACACCGACAACATTTTAAAAAATTGAAAAAAAAAAAAAACAAAAAACAAACAAGCCCCAGCCCAGCAAGGACAGGCTCTGCAGGAGGCCAGAGGGGCTCCTGCTCCCGTGCAATGTTCTCGTTGCCCGGCTGCCCCTCCGAACGCTTAAACCAAAGAACTCTGCCCGGAGTTCTCTGCCTCCCTCTGCCTCCGGGCGCTTCCACACGAAAGCCGGGACACGCCGCCACCGCCCAGCAGAAATAGATGTACAGGTAGCTTAACACACGTGCACACAGCAACTCACGTGGAAATATGTAATTTTTTACATATAATATGCGTGTATACGTGAACATGCATTTATATGTATATACACACATAGAGAGAAACAGGCAGCTCCGGGAGCGCGGCGACCCCGAGACCTCGCAGGAACGCCGGGCCCGTCCCGTCTCGTCCCATCTATAACCCGCAACATCCCGATCCCAATTCCCATCCCGGTCCCGCATCCCGGTCCCGGTCCCGCGCCCCGGCCGGCCCCGCTGTTTACCTGCTCCCGGCACCGCACGCGCCCCCCGCCGCTCCCATTGGCTCCCGCCCCAGCGCCGGCCGGGAGGGACGGCCGCGCCCGCCCATTCGTCGTCACAGCCGTCGCTCAGCGGCTCTACCCGCCTACAGACCGCTTTCCTCCAATAGGAGAGAAGAACGAGAAGGAGATCGGCCAATAGGAAGGCGGGTGTCACCGCCCGCCCTGTGCTCGGCGGCGGCCTGTGAGGCGGCGGCGCCGCCATGGCGGGGCGGGTACGGGCCGTGCCCCAGCCTCGGGGCGGGCGGAGTCCGGGAATGGCTGGGGTTTGAAGGGGCCTGAAGGTCATCCAGTGCCAACCTCTTGCATGGCTTGGAGCCTCCCACCAAACCATGGTGCTCAAGGCCCTGTCCAACATGTCTTGAACACTTCAGGAATGGGGCATCCACCGCTGCTCTGGGCAGCCTTTGCCAGCGCCTCACCATCCTCAGAATACGGAACTGCCTCCTAATATTTAATTTATTATCGAAACCTTCTTTCTTCCAGTCTGAATCCATCCCCCCTTGTCTTGTCACTAAATCCCCTTGTAAAAAGTCAATTTCTGTCGTTCTTGTAGACCCCTTTCAAGTATTGGAAGGCTTAAATGCACATCAACTTATCCCTTCAGTAAATAAAATTATATGCAAGCATGTAGATCCTGATGGAAATAAAAGGAGTAATAAATAATAAGAGAGAAGTGTGGAGGAGTAAACAGAGAAACCAGAGGAAAAGGCCAAAGAATAGTTCTGCTGGAATTGTCTGACCCTGCTCATTATAGAGATCAGGGGGGTGAATAAGGAAAATTACAATTTCGCCCTGTTTGCAATGGGTGTGGGAAGTTTGTATTTTCAGCCTGTAAGCATTTTTTTTTTAATTAAAAATTAAAATAAGAAAAAAAGGCATGGTAGTAAGCAAGATAATCCAGTAGATAGATGAAATTGCTTCTTCAGTCAGAAGCAAACCACTCCTGCCTCTGTTTCCATTGCTTCATCAAGCAGCAGCCAAGTGAAATTAAGATTCTGGCAGCTCTGTAGCACTTGCTCATCATCTGTGGGGGCAGAGACACGAGCTGGAGTCATGGCAATTTCCCTCTGCTGCTGTTGTCATTTCAGGAAGAACACAGGCAAATTCACACTCCTCTCTGCTCCATGCCACCCAAGATGATTCTGTGTACAGAAGGAATGAAGAGTAAGGTGGTAATGAAGGAGAGACAAGGTACAAACACGTGAACTACCCCACTGTAAATCACTGGATAAACTGGAATCTTTTGCAGGTTCCCAAATCTTAAGTTGGCCATCACATTCTTTTCCCCAAAGTCCCTGCACAACATCAGTGACATCCTTGTGTCCATAATTCTTATTTTGAACACTGCACACAGAACGAAGTTACATGGAAAATTCTTCAGAGCCCCAGAGGGCTGCCTATTTATTTTTTTACCTTTGCCAAGGTAAAGTCAGTCTGGGAAAACTGATAAATTCTGTGTTTGGCTGTGTTCTTCACTAGCCTAGAGCTCTTTACTATCAGAGCTCTTTCCAGCAGGTTTCCCTCAAAGGCTGTGTCAACCTCTGGTCTTTGTGCTGAACTCTTGAGTTCCTTTTCACTGGACACTTGATCCAGCTGGAGATTTTTTTAATGGGAACCTTTCTGATGGATTGAATCCTTCACACCTGTGAAGGATGCTGCTTTGTTAAGTTTAACATTAGGGGAAGGAATAATTTTGGTTGCACTCAGATTTTCCACAACTGACAATGATTTTACTCCCCTTTACTTTTACATGGAACAAAAGTATCTGACACAAATTTGGGACAATAGTAAAAATATTTATCTGTTTTAAAAACATTTTACAGCTTCAAGGCCAAAGTGTTGACAGTCTGAACTGTGCTGTGAACAGCAGCTGTCAGCGCAGCTGAGCCTGCCATAGATCTGTGCAGGAGATAGGGAAATTGTTCTTCGGCCCCTTCTTCTAGGGGCTGGAGGGATGGGAACTGGTTTTACAAGCCCAGTTGACCTTTATCAGCAGCTTTAGAAGCCAAACTTGCAGCTTTTTAGATCTCAAAAGTGCCTACTCTGGACTAAAATTTAGAGGCAAACAAATTCCTTGCTTCTTTCCACATTCTCATTAAATCCTCCCTTTTTACTCTCACCCTGATGGACAAATGCAAAGAGGGGCAGGTCTTGTGCAACCTAGCAAAGGGTTTTATGAAAAAGAATAATCTACTTCAACCTTCATGGAAGCACAAGAACATGTGCATTTCATTTCTTTTTTTTTTGAAAGGTTTTACATTCTTTTTCATGAAGGTTTTACATCCCAGCTGTCTTTCTCAGAATGCACATCCTGCCTGCCTCCTTTGTAGCATGAGGCAAAAATCTATCTCAGCTCAGTGTTCCCCTTCTGCAGCCTAAAGTGGGCAGTAGGAAGACAAATTGTTTTGGTCTCTCCATCCATGAGTGATACTTCCATGCTGCTTTCAGCCAGAATGCCTTTTCACATGTTTTTTCCTAGCTGCCTCACATGAGAAGCATCTGACCTGGGAGCAAGTTAACAGGCTCTTTGATGTTATGGACATCAAAAATATTTCTGCTTTTTTTATCTTTTTTTTCTTTTTTTCTTTTTTTTTTTTAACAGATCTGTGCAGTCATTTCCTGAAAGGATCTCTCCCAGATAATGCAGATTTGTGCTCATTGCCAGGGAAATCACATGCCCAGCTGCATCACAGCTTCAGGACTTGGGAGGTTGTTCTGAAGTACATGGGGACATTCTCTGGGATTGCCCTGATGTGTTCCATTTTGGTACTCAGATGTTTATGGTAGGAAAATCTCAGGGAGGTTTTGTCATAAACTGCTGCAGTCCTTCAAATATATCCAAGGAATTGTGACTGGTTTATTTCAGGAGATGTAAATAATACCCGGAAATGGGACTGCTGACACAAATCCAGAGATGCTCCCTCGGCTTTTGAATGGAAACAGACATGACACCATCTGTCAAAATAACATTGAAACCTCTTGTGCTTGCACAGAAGATATGAATAGGGTCAGGCCCAGCACACTGGAGTTTTGTTCTGGAATAGGCAGTACTTTCCAGGAGTCTTGCTCAGTTTATTCCACTCCACAGATCTGCAGTCCCTCAAGGAAAGGTCATTGCTGAGTACCAAAGCTAACATTATTTTCAGAAGTTAATCCCAGCTCCCAGTCACCACTGAATGGCTAGAAGAAAGCAAGAACACCAGGGACCAAGGTCAGACTTCTCTGAGCAACCTGTTCCAGAGCCTCACCACCCTCACAGTGAAGAATTTCTTCCTAATATCCAATTTAAAACATTTCTTTGTCAGTTTAACGTCATTCCTCCCTGTCCTACAACTGCATGTGCCTGTAAAAAGTCCCTCTCCAGCTCTTCTGTACCCCTTTAGGTGCTGGAAGGTGGAACCAGCCTGGTTCCTTATTGTGAAAAACACCAATCACTTGTTTTTAAATTTTTTAAAAGTTTAATAGTAATAAAATGGTTCTAAAAATAGTAATACAATTACAGTAATAATAATTTGGACAAAATGGAATTAGCACAATATGAGGCAATAAGGACAAAGAGTTATGGATGTCTGGGTACCTCTTTTTGGGCAGTACAAGCCCAGAAAAAGGACCCACGTTAACAGAGGATTAACCCTTAAGAACAACAGCCTGTTGCATATTCATACACCTCATACATGATGCATAAATTCCATTCAAACACAGGATTCTGTCTGGTCAGTGTCAACTTCTTCCTTCTAATCCTGACAGCACCTCCAAGGTGGGAAGAAGCTCGTTTCTTCTGGTAATGGAGCAATGAATTCTTTTTCTCTGAAAGATTCAGGTGTCCTGTGGCTGCTACCTTGCTGTGAATCCGCTCTTTTAAAAAACTATCCTACATAGCATAGTTTCTATTTTAACAATTTTTGTAACCTAAAACTATATTTAACACAGTACTTAAGAGAATTAATACAGCATTACTTTCTAACACAACACATATAATATTCATTTGAATATTTGCGAAAAGACAATCATAAAATACACGCATTTTTCACACTTCTCCTCTCCAGGCTGAGCAGCTCCAGCTCTCTCATGGCAGAGGTGCTCCATCCCTCTGCTCCCCTCCAGGACGCTGCTCTGGGCTCAGCCCCTGTCCCCATCCTTCTGCTGCTGAGTGCCCAGAGCTGGGTGCAGCACTCAGCTGGGATCCCACCAGGCTCCCCTTCCTCAGCCCGCTGCCCTCACTGCTCCGCCTGCAGCCAGGATCACTGACGGGGATCACTTTGCACTTCAAACCGACCCCAATGAGACAGCCCAGCAGCTGGGATCTCACCAGGATCCCCTTCCTTTGGCTGCTGCCAGGATCACCGATGGAGATCACTTTTAATGTCAAACCGACCCCAATGAGACAGCCCAGCACTGATTTCTGGAGAGCAGCTGGCCAAGCTGAGATATCAACAGGCTGCGAATCTCCTTTCCATCTTTTCAAGCAGATGCCGGCTCATCTCCCTGAGCCAGCAAATAAAGGTCATTTCTAGGCCCTGCTCATTTCTGAGAGCTGGAGGTGGCACTGACAGCTTCGTGCCACACCAAGGTTGTCCAGAAATGTCATTTTGGGAAGCACTTGGCTTTAAAATTAGTTAAACTTTGTGATCCCCACTGCGAATTGCGCAATCGCCGTGAGCCTGCGCAGTCGCTGTGAGCATGCGCAGTCGCCGTAGCCCTGCGTAATCGGCGTAGCTCTGCGCAGTCGCCGTGAGCCTGCGCAAACGGCGTAAGCATGCGCAAACGGCGTGACACGCGTGAAATAAGTAAAAAACCGAAAAAACCCTTAAAGAAACGTAAATAAATTGTAAAAATAAAATAAATAAATGAAAAAAATATATAAAAAACCCAAAACATCAGCAAGGACATGTGAGCCACCCAGCAACCTCAGCTGTCCCTTCCTCCCAAGGCCCTGGGGGAAGGAGCAGCAAGGAGCCCACAAGGTGTTCTGGGGTGCCACAG